CCACCGATTCAGCATTGCACTCCCATAACAATGTCTTGCTCACAACATGCAGTTCAAAAAAAAAAGATGTTATAAAATTGATGCAGCCGGACCAATAAGAAGATTTGGGTTTGTTATGCTAGTGGCAGCTAATCGGGCTCGGCCTCAAGGAGAGGTGAGGAGCATGCCACAGAGGTCTGGTAAGCTCAACCTTTATTAGTTTGTTGGTGGCTATATAGTCATATTACACTGATGGTTGTATTTGCACTTCTCGATTTCTGATATTCTAATATTGATAGAATGGAAACTATGGGAAGGCTGTGACCTGCAAATCCTGCAAAGAAATATAGAAACAAGCGCTAGCTGTTGATGCAGGAGACAGAATATTCTTCTAATCGTTTCATCATTATTCTCACAAAGTTGTGGGGCAACTCGGTGAAGGCCCCGGCTTAAAGGAGTACAGGGCGTACCCAATGATGTCACTGCGATAAGCCCCCACAGTGCTGCTGAATACCAAACTGAGGGATGACCTCTGTAAGTTGCCATGACTCCAGCAACTAACCAGCTCCGTCTGGTTCCAACATCCAGCATGGAGCCACTGCAGCGCATACACACTCGCACAAACACGTACGTAGTGCTCTCTCTTGTATGATGGTGTACACACACACACACACACACACACACACAGTGCCAATGTGTCTGGAATGATATCTCAAGGACTCTCCTCTCCATGCCCTGCTGGTTCTAGGAACCCAGCCAGGTTTTTGCGGTCCAGCTAAACTGTTTCACCCGCATCACCTGGACGGAGAGGTTGTGCACTTCCGGGAGACCACAGCTGTGGTGAGCTTTCCTAGGCCACCCTAATGTGGCCTGGATCCCGAGAGATGGGTAATACCTGCCAAACAAGCACAGGAATACCTTTTGTATTATTTTGTCACAATTTAAACGGTTTGAAATGAACACAAAGAGCAAAGTGAAGCGTAACGCTGCGAGCCCTTTTTGATATTCCATAGCCTGCAAAAAAACAAACAGATAATGCCGTTTATCTTCTGGCTTGTCCTTCTCAAAGTGTGAGATACCACACGGAGCAGACGATAGTTTGAGAGCAGCGGGCGGCTGTGAGGCATTGCACAGGGCCAAATGGTGTGTTTGTCTCAACCACAGCAGATCAATAAAGGCTCTGACCTCAACTGTCAGCCAACTAAACTCTGTTCGCCAGGGGACGCTCATTTCCCTTTCGCCATGGAAACAGAAAGTAGTGACTGTAATCTACAAAAGTGCCTAAGCCTATCAGCTAACAGCTCAGTCATGTGGATTTTTTTGCATGAGCGGGCTTAGGGTTAACTTGGACAGACAGTCCCTTTTACTGATTCCACTCTGAGAAATCATGTCATGTGAAGCTGTTACCCATAATATTTACCACAGTGGCGGATCTATCGTAAGCCTCCTATATGCCTTGGTGACATGTGTGAAGATTAAAACATCCTCTTCTACACGCTTAGGCATTCATTTTCCTGGAGAAAATGCAGACTTCACCTTATAAAGAATGTTGTTCTCTTAAGACAGCAAACACAATGGTGTTTCACACAATCCTGGGGAAAGAAAAGTGTAAAAGACAAATTCTCTGTCCTCCAGCCAAGTAGGTCTAATAATTATATATAATACAACAACTATAAATACAGGAGCAAACTGTCAGCAGCTTATCATGTCTGATTTATGCCAGGATGGTGCTGATGAGATTATTTTGCCCTCCTTTCATATCTGGCCCTCCGGCGCTCTCACCTCGTCTTTGATGCTAACAGGTCAAATTTTTTGAAGGAGGAGGAAGTTTTAAGCCTCTGGCTAGTTTTTGCATGAATGGATGTCCTTTCTTTCCCCCTGTGATTCACGGATGGTGGTAGGCACCAGTCAGTAGGTATTTAAAGACAAAAAGCGAAGCGCACAGATCTTCATGACTAACATTTTCTCGGTAAAGAGATGCAGAATAGAGATATACATTTAATATAATTCATAGGATTCAAACTGTGTGAAAAGCTTTAAATTAAGTGAACAAATGCAAATATTGTAACTGCACATGTGCTTTGTTTTATAAATAGAATAGAATATATGGCATGAATGGATTTTGTAGTCCTTTGAATAATTCACACCACTGATCCTGTTAGAGTTATGGGTTTGTCCCTGCTTAGTGAACCATTCACAAAATGTATTCTTTCATAAAAAATATGCAAAGGTGCCTAAAGTCGTCATTATAGCTCAGTTATTTCTGGATTTCTTTCAAGCTGAAGATTGGATGACGATTGCCTTCACTTATGCGGTAGTGGCTGATGAAATAAAGTGCTATTTACCTGGATTTCAAAGGTTTAAGGTAATCACTTCATGTGTAGGTAAAGTCATGTTTGTAGAATTGTTTCTTTTGCATATTCTCCCTGTGTTGAAGGGATTTATATACAATAATACAAAGAGGACACGCAAACACTGACAGGGCATCGCCTGTTGCAGATGCGGCTGAATTATGGACATCATGGAAAAAAGTAAACTGAGGCTGGAAATGGATAATAGATTGCCCAGTCAGTCCAAAATTAAAGAGATAGAGATTGGAATTGATGTATTTAATTCTGTATATTTGCCTTTACTTAACAGATACATTAGATCGTTTACAGGAGCGACCTGGCCAAAATGGCAGCATATAGATTTTACAGTCACATAAAATCACATAGTTTACATTAACATTGAATCTGAGGTGAATGTGACTGTCTAAAACAAGTTTTGAATGTGGCGTTTGAATACCTGATATGAGGGAAAGAAAGGCACGAAGATGCAACATGATCATGTATAGATTAAGCCACCCTGCACAATATAACATTACATCTACCAGTTACACCATAAAAATGACTCTTATGCATTAATGCATCAGTAATTATAATCCATTAGACTGTTATTCGGTTATGAACCATTCTCAGAGGGATTACTTCCACTTCCATTATATTAATTTTGATGTTAATACTTTTGTATTTTTACTTTCAAAGTCAAACTTTAAATAGATTACTTTTACTTGTAACAGAGTATTTCTACACGACGGTTTTGCTTCTTTTACTTCAGTAAAAGGTCTGTAGGTGTTTACAGTATAATGCAGATTAAAACCCTGAGTTTTCAAAATGTCAATTTTTCAGGATCTCGGAATAAAAAGAGTCTTTGAGATCCTTTGACTGAAAGTAACCATTGGAAAAGTCGAAACCTGTGCGGAGGGTTTTCACATGAAAGCAGCAATGTGTTACGGAGAAAACCATTTCTAAATCTTATCCTTTAAGCACATTTAGGAGATGTGGACACACAAGACACTGAGAATGCGAATGACTTTGCCCCCTGGTCACAGCTCATAGAGAACTGTATCCGGCCTGCGCTGTGTATCCTTCCATAAAAGAAACACCAGGGGAAAGTAATCCCGTTGGCTGAATTCACGCTGGATCAACCCTTGAACACTTGTGGAGACAGTGGGTGACACATGCTGGGACGTCAGCAGCCAACTAGTGAACGTGTTTGAATTAGGGGCTTTTAGACGATATACATTCACATCACAGAGGAGCTTATAGCCTATTCTAAATCACAACAGGGACTTTGGGCCACTAATTACGCATCTCCAAACACAGCATCACTTGTGACCTTATCTCTGTGCCTGTCAGTGTGTTAGCATTCACATGGCAAGTGTGGCGATGAATGTAATTACTGGAGCCCAAAATAATAACACCATCGTCTTTGAGCATGGAGCAGCCAGTCAATTGTCCTCCCCCTCCTCGTCTCCGCCAAATTAGTGGAGACAAGGACAAATATAGAGTTATTAGAGCCCTGAATCTATGGGAGGAATACATACAGAATATATGAGAGACAAGGAAGGATATTTGTACTTCAGTGAATTTAATATCTCATTATAACACCTACAGCAATCCTATTATAAAATGTATCACAACTCCATAACTTTAAAAAGAAATGTGCAGCCATTATAATAGTTACAGTACAGAAACTCACAGAGACTTTCACTTATTATATCACTTACATTGATTTTGGCTTTTATTTTAATGGCTCATTGTTATTTAAGTTTTTTAAAGTGTCTGTAGGGTTTTGTCACTGATGTAATCTTTTAACTGTTTCAATTGTACAAGAGTCCCCACACCCAAATATGTCTCAAAAGCTGCAGAACAGCAGCTAAGCACAACATTGTGTTATTTGGTAAATTATCTACAAATTAATGCATTTTTGTTTAAATTTACTTTGAATCGTAAAAAAGGTCCCCCTCCACTCCAATGTTCGTACCGCTGCATGAGGGCAGTGCAGATATTAAGGCTCTGAATATCCACTCCAGCACCTTTAATGCGTGTACACAAAAGATGATTTTGTGACATCACAGCCAGTTTAAAAGCCAGTCATTGGTCCGGTATGCAAGTAGCACAAGTGTGAAGACTTGAAACTCCAGTGCACATATACTTGAAATGAGAAATAATTTGCATAATCAAGATTTGTCATTGAGGGAGAAAGGATAGATGTAATTCTCTTGAAAGATTACCAAAAAAGATGGCCATTTATTTTTTATATATTGATATTTTTCTATGTTGTTAATTTTTATACAATTTTATTTATATTATTGTTTTTGTTATTTATTATTTTACAGCTCAGTGCTTCTTGGATTATTCCCTATACAACTGTTGCACACATGTCTACTGAGTCAAAATGTAACATTAAAAAGAAAAACACACATTTTAAGATCCGTACTGTTAATAACTTTGGCATCATACATCTTTTGGATTTGCACTCCTCCCATGTTGTATTGCAACTACTGCACAGCATTTCCCCTCGGGATAAATAAAGTTGAATTGTAGCTCATCTTCCCACAGAACAAATTAAATGGAGCAACTTCCACCTCTTGTGGCCATATGTGGTATTTCTGCACGCGAACTGTGACCCGGAAGTCATTCAGTCTGTTTTTCTCCGTCACATGTGCGGAGTTAACGTTGAACAGCACTCACCAACATGGCCGCGTGCAGCGTGGAAGCGCTGCTGGCTAAAGCCGAGCAAGACGAGGCAGAGAAACTGAAAAGCATCACCGTCAAGAAGGAGCTGGACCTGGAGTTTGACATCGGGAACCTGTTGGCTTCCGACAAAAACCGCCTCGAGTCCCGGGACTTCAGAGAGCAGAAGAAAGAAGACTTTCTGCGGTCGCTAGCTCGTGACAACACGCAGCTGCTCATCAACGAGATCTGGAAACAGCCCACGGAGAGGGTCGATGAGGCGATAGTGACCAAATTACCAGACACGGTGACCCCGCTGCCCAGAGAGAAACCACCCCCGAAGCCCAGACCGCCCACAAAATGGGAAGAGTTCGCCAGGCTGAAAGGCATACAGAATAAGAAGAATACCAACTTGGTGTGGGATGAAAACGCGAAGGACTGGAGGAGGCGCTGGGGCTACAAGAGGGCCAAGGATGACACCAAGGAGTGGCTGATTGAGGTGCCGGTGACCGCAGACCCGAACGAGGACCAGTTCGCCAAACGCGCCACAGCCAAGAAGGAGAGAGTGGCCAAGAACGAGTTCAACCGGCTGAAGAACATCGCCAGGGCGCAGAAGGTCAAACTGCCCGGCGTCGGGCTGACTCCTGTAGCCCAGCAGTGCAAAGAAGACCTGGTCAGAGCTGTGAGTGTGGCCAGGACCTCCACGGCGTCCGTCGGGAGGTTCCAGGACCGCCTGCCGAAAGAGAAGCCGCCAAAGAACACCGGTAAGAAGAGGAAGTTTGAGCCCCTCATCGGTAACTTTTCCAACGAGAAGCAGAAGCAGCTGGACCTGCTGAAACTCATGAACGGAAAGAAGCCCAAGTTGGACATCAACAAGGCCGTCGACAACCAGATCAGAGAGGAGAAGAGAGAGGAGGCGGCAGCCAGGTACAAGAAGGGAGCAGGGAAGAAAGGACGCAGAGGCAACATGCCAGGAAAGGGCAAAGGAAAGGGTGGGAAAGGAAAAGGAGGCCAGGGAGGCAAATCTGGAGGAGGAAAAGGAGGCAAATCTGGAGGAGGCCAAGGAGGCAAATCTGGAGGCCAAGGAGGGAAGAGGAGAGGCAAACTTGGGAAGCACTGAGGACTCTTGTATCCTGCTAGACCTGTTTGTGCCTTGGCATCAAAACAATCGGACTGGACTTAATTGATGCAATATGAAATATGACTGTTTTGATTCATCATCTGTGAATGAGGGCTGTGGTGTTGTGTGACTTGTCTCTTTCATCTGTAAATATCAGTCCCTGCATTCTCGGTGGTCAGCTGATTTAATATATCTACATTAAAATCAGTAGATTGTGTTTTTTCGTCCCTGTTTTTAATCACATGCAGAATTTTGAAAAGTCAGCTATAGTGGAATCATTTCACATGAAAAGCACAGGTGTAACTAACGTAACACTGAATGTATTCACTGAATTTGAATAATTGCAAACAGAGTACGCAATGGTCATTTCTTCAAAGACCACACAGACGGCAATGATAAAATTAAAAAAACTGCGTTGTGCAAAACAGATTTCCTTATAATAAAATGTTTCTATTCACGACCATATGGCATATTTTGATGACTTGTTAGTTGACTGTGACCATTAAAAGTTAGCAGGTGCTATAAAGTTAAAATAAAAAACTACATTTTGCAGTTTGTAATACGTAGTCAATGATTACATTGCAATGGTCGGTAAAATGATCCAAATACAGATAAACGATTGAAAAGTGTGCCAGTAGGTCACGACAGTGAGCCAGTATGCACAACACCAGCTGCAGTCGTTAACTATTATTAATCACACCTGTGATTTTCTTGCTAAGTGTCGGCTGTGAAAAAGATGTAATTCTAATGGAGTCAGCCTGTGCAGCAACTAAGGAGGACTTAAATATTGACTTGTAAAAAACAACTCTTTATATTATACTGTACATTTTATAAAAAATGTGTATGAATTAACATTGTGGCGGTCTCTTTTTTTTGGCTAATCAATCTCTTGACGGTTTACATATGCTCAATGTTTCTTGTTATATATTTTCAGATTACCCTACCATGAAATCTCTTTATTTGTATTGAATCAGGTTGCTTTAATGAAACTGCAGCAGCAACAGTTGACACGAGCTCAGTGAAAGCATCTCAGCAACAGATTAAATATATTATTAATGGAGTCACGATGCAGCTAATGTAATGTTTCCAAAATATCACTAGCATCTCTGTTTGCAAACAAACTGATGCACAGTTTTTTTTTTCATGTACATTTTAATAGCTGCCCTGGTCGGTCTTAAGAGATAAAAGCTTGAACGTGGAGGAGCTCATGTGTGTTCTCCTTAGAAGTAAACCTCAGATCGGTCTTCTGAGAGGCTTAGCTGGGATTTTTGGTTATGTAAAGGCTTTGGCCTTGGTGTCTAGACTGGAGGCATCACACTGAATTAGGAGCAGACAGAAGCGCTAGGATTGCCAAAAACACAACCTAAGTGCCTAAAAAGCTGTAGATAACATTTTTGTATCATTCTAGTGAGCATAATACCAATACCGGAAGGTGTTGATCTGTACAGCTATGCTTTCACATGCTACCTGTGGAGAGACTCTTCTTAGAGCCAGAGGGGGGTTCAGTCCAAACAAGTGTTTTTGCACGACTGCTGAGGCCGAAGATAACGAGCTTAATCAGTTGTCTCATGGAGGTGTTTCCTATTTCAGACAGTGCACAGACACAAGCGTATGCACAGCCCACCTGGTTTCAACATTGCTTCCTTCTGGCATTGCTTGCAATGAGTTGTAAAAATAAAATAGATTTCTTCTTATAGAATGAATAAAGTCTTTCTGCAGTTAGAGTTGATTACATATGCATAATGGTTGCAGGTTTGCAGCAAAACCTCCACTACTCGGATATGATTGTCTGGCTGAGTGATCTCTCGTGTTATTGATGGATGCTTTTTAATTCGCTGACATAAGCTCACAGCCAAGCTCCATCGCACCAGAGCGGGAAAGGGGAGGTGTGTGTGTGTGTGTGTGTGTGTGTGTGTGTTTGGAGGGTTCAATTGCCATCTGTTGAGTCCGCCACCACGTCCCAAGCCCATTCATCTTTGTCCCTGCTCACCCATGCCACTGGAAATAGGACACAGTCAATAACCATAAATCAATCAAGCACTCTGGACGAGGTGGGATTATGAATTCTCACCCATGTCGAGGCGAGCAGCGGCCTCTAAACTTCCCTCGCATGTCACCAGATGGTCAAAGAACAATAGGCGCTGGCATGAAGATGAGGTGGTCAAGCATGATCTCTGAGGTGAAAACCGCCTTTTATTCCATTGCTGAGCAAAGAAATATTGACAGATTGGTATCTGGTAAAAAAAAAAATGAATCTTCAAAATTAAGAATAACCCAACAATTAGTCTAATAATCACACACTTTTCTTCAATAAACTAAGATTGTATTCGTGCCCAGTGTTGTGCTTGTACATGCTTGTATGTGTGTGTGTCTTTTTTCACTAAGGAGGGACGTGTTGTTGCTCGGCTCCAGTCAGTGCTGCAGTGGATTAGTCAGCTGCATTTAGTGCAGAGAGGGTGCCGGAGCTTCGGTCAGTGTGCAAGTGTCAGATCTTCAAGATGCAGCGCATCTACATGCACAGCAATGAGCACTTTGAAGTCTTCACCACTGTCCTTGCTCCTCAAGGTGAGTGAGATCATGTCTGCAGTGAAGAGTGGCTGAGCATGACATCATCTTTCATTGTTAGTGAGGTCAAGATGACATATCAATGTCAGATGATTGATAACTAATGTGATAGATCGTTTGTTTTCTCTCCTATGTGGACTGTTCATTTACAGGACACGGCTGTTAGAGATACTTATGTACATGCATTTATGTAAAGGAATTCACATTTGCATATTAAACGTCTTTTTTTGCTGATTCATTTCCACTCATTGGTTAACAGGGAGGTATCGATACAGAGCAGAAGCTGAAACGGCAAGTTAAACATTCTCCTTCATTGAGACATCCATCTGATATGCATTGATAAAAATGTAGCATTGGCTGTAGGTTGTTAGTTGAACATTATGTGTAGATCTTAAACAGCAGAAATATCACCCAGAACTGATTATTTATTGTTTCGTAAGTCTTAAATACACTGGAGATTGATTAATATGAGTTTGACATTGATGTTATGTAAAGTCGGTCAATTTCCTCTGGCTCCATTATGAGTGTAATTCATCTAATTCCTCTGACAAACACGCACCATATTTAGGAGGAACAGATAATGAAGAGTAGACCCAGATTAGGGTTTCTATTTCACTGCACAGCAGTTAATCTCTAAATCTTGACACATAATCCTCTCTAACCTGGAGACTGCAGAGAGCAACACAGACAGAGACTTGAGCCTTTTTTTTTTTTATCAATGCAACAAAAAGGAACAGGACAAACTGTATCTCATTTAAATGAATTGTGAAAATCCCATGCACACAATTCAAAGTGACTGGCTGCAACTCTCCCTCTGACCGCTAGATGGTAGTGGTGCACAGCTACAGGCCCCACTGGCCAGATGAGCTGGAGCTGTCTCTGGGTGACGTCATCCTGGTGCTGCCCAAGCACGAGGAGGAGAGGTGGTTTGGGCGGCTGCAGGACGGCCAGCAGGGCTACTTCCCCGCCTCCTGTGTGATGGAGCTGAGCCAGGTTGGTTGGTTGGCTGGCTGGCTGCATGATGAATGTGCTCAGCAATGCAGCAATACTGGACTGTGTTGTTGCTGCTGCTTAATGTCACAAGGCAGGTCGCACTTTCTATTCTGTTCCTCCACAGTAGGTTTCAAACACCATGAAAACCGAGTTACTCAGTCAGCTTCTTACCATGAACACATGGTTGTTATTTTGGTTATTTTTACCAACTTCATTTGGTTATTATAATTGAGATTTTTATGTCTTAGCTGTGTTGTTGGGTTAGATAAGCGGTTAACTTAAGTTTTTTCCCACCCAAACTTACATTTTGATTGTTGCATATTTGGTCATGAATAATTAAAGGTGCATTCCACCAATTTTGAACAACAAATACTGCCCAGCAGACTGACCAAATAGCCCTGATGATGTAAGAGTGATGTCATTAGGGTTATCTCTATTGTGGCTTAAGAATTTCTAACCAAAAGCCGACATTATAATTCTGGCATTTGGAATAAGTGGCCATTTAGAAAGCAGGGAGAGTCTAATGAAAATCATTATTGAGTTGCATTATGGGAAGTGTAGTATCCAATATAGGAGCTGGAGCTGTCTGTGAGTTAACTTGAAAAAAGCAGTAGCTAGATAAGAGAAGATACCAGAGGAAGTATACAGTTTATTTCATGACATCTGTTGGACATTTTGAAGTGACACTCAATGGTTCATATTGTCAGGTGAATCTTCCTCCAAAGGCCGTACGAAGGAGTTTATCTCTGAGAAGCTCAGCCTGGGACAACGATTCAGGAGTACGCAGTAGACATGGGAAGTAAGTGTACAACTCGTACAGCATGCGACAAACACAACAGGCATAACAACAAACATACACATCCCCTTCAACAAGTGCATGCATAAACATCATGCACGCACCCAGCAGCTGTTCAACCACCAAACCCCCCCCACACACACACACACTCACACACACACACATCCCCCATCCCCAAATCTCATCCCACTGCTCTCCACCCAGTGCCCCTGAGCAGGTGGCCCCTCTCGTCCCTCATTAGTTGACAAAGCACACTGATTACAAACCCCCCTGAACATACATGGAGGCGTGCACACACACACACACACGCACACATACACGAACGCACTATCTAGTCAATCTGCTCTCACTGCACAGCATCTGAATAAAGAGGAGCAGGAGGGAAAGGGAAGACCCGTAGTTTTCTCTGAAATGTTATGAAAATGTTTGACATTTATGACGGATCATCAAATGCAAAATAACGTTTTATCAATGCTACATTCAGTGTTGCAGCAAATGTTTTTTGATAGGGCACTGTACCTCTCTTGCAGTTTATTTGACACTAGGGGGCATTTCTTTTTGACAGCCTGCTACTGAACCATGCTCACACACTCACATAAACACACACACCACCACCACCACCACCACACAGAGCCCCCTGTGCAGCTCCGTGCCTGCCTTGTCTGCTAGCGGTGGAATTTGGGTCATGAGGAATAAACAGGGCCTTTGTGTTTGTTATTTCCTCTTTGTCCCCCAGTGGACACATTCGGCAGGCACTAAGGAGGGGGAGCAGAGGAGCTGGAGGAGGAGGAGGAGGAGTGGTGCTGGATGGTGGCCAAGGTGAGAACGAGGGCCCCTTCCCGGTGCGGAGGCCCCAGATCCCTGTGCCACAGCCCGTGGCCTCCCAACCTCAGATACATAGATCCCCGGGCCTGCTCCACAGGATCTTGTCCAAATGCCGGAAAAAGAGTGAATGCCAGGGCGCCACCAACGCGGCCTTCGAGGGCGACTAAGAGGCCCTCCTCTTTGTCCTGGGTGACTGAACTGAGTTCACTTTGGTGGGGCTGCGTTGGGGGAGTATATGCGGGTGAACAGAGGAACTTCTGAAATGTGAAAAGACGGTCTATATATCCTCATGTGGGCTGGTGCTCATTTCCATACCAGGTATTCTTCACTTGGCTGCATTACTAGAAGCAAGAGGTTGAATTGGGAGTGTGCAAACCTAAATCGGTGATGTCACAGATCGTGTTTTGCCCATCACATCCGATGTATGCCTGGTGTGACATCACTGATGGGGGCGTGTCCAAAAGTGCAACATGTTCGAATGGGTAGAGAGCTGAGCAGCTGCTGTTTTCTGCCCTATTTTTCAGCATGGCAAGATCAAATGCAGGCTTTGAATATATAATAAATATATTATTACAATCATGGCAAACATAACATTAAGAGTTAGTGGCAATCAATGAAGCAACAAGATGTTTAACTGATCAAATGTAGCCTTTTTCATGACTTTGATGCTGTTACTTAAGAGAAATGTTATTTCTATTGTCTGTGCACATTTTGCTCCATCATGCATGTTTCTTAAATTCATCTGTTGATATGTATGTATTTTGCTGCTTAATATGTAATCATTTTATAACCATAAAACCCATAAACCCTTACAGGCTAACATCTTTTTATTCTAGTGGACATAGCTCAGTATATTACCTCATACTTCTGTTCGTTTTCCTTTGAACGCACTGAGCCTCCCTCCTATTTAACAGTGCCGGAGGAAAAAAAAACTCTCCCAAGCGAAAGGAAGTGTGATTGAGGCCTAATGAAAGCTTCGCCAAAGCACCAGGGATTGTACCGGTTGCCCCCGCAACGCTCAAGCAGCCCTCATAAGTCGCATGTAGCCTTCTTCATCTGTGGTGCCTCCCAGCATGTCCCCGTAGCGGGGTCTCTATAGGGTGGGCTGTAGATTACCTCCTTCCCGAGGACACAAACACCAAATCTAATCCCTAACCCTGGCCTTGACCTCGGTGGGGAAACACTCTCCTCCTCCTGCTCCCTCCACCATTTAATATTCACTGTTGTATAATCCTTTGTAATAAAGACTGTAGGAGGCAGGAGGCAGTCACTCTGGGGCCAGTGTTTGGGCGGCATGTCTTGCACAAGGAAGGGTGTAAATGTTACAAAGAGAGACAGCTCCACTGGTCCTCTGAGAAAACTCTGATTCATGAGAATATTTCTGTGGGCCTTTCCACTGCTGTTACTGTTACTGCTTATCTTGAGTTTTACAACTTTCACTTTTGATAGAGGGAGGGGAATTTCTGAGAATAGTGCACGTTTACTTTCAAATCCTGACCTACAATGACAGGATATGAAAGATGATAACGTTTACTTGAGATGTAATGTATGTGCATGTAAAGGAGGAGAAATGTCACTCATCTAAGGTAGCATCTGGGAGTATAAATGGTGGATTAGTACTCATGTGTGATCACTCATGTGATAAAAAGTAAGTCATTCAAATTCACATTAAGTCACATAGTGTGCAGAAACGAGTTAGTTTCATATTTAAATGAATCATCCACTGTGGCTGTAGCTTCAAAACATGGCAAATGCCCACTCACAAGGACTGACGTACCTCACGCGGTGACACACACACAAGTGGAAACAGTGACCTATATAGAGCGGAAGGGCCAGGGTCCAAATTTTAACACACACACACGCGCACACACTCCCTCAGGGCTGTGGACTCTCCCGCCTAAAAGTGTCCTATCCATGCTGTGTTGTGCCTGGTTTATTTGGGGGGATGTGGGGAGGGGGGGTAACAGGGTGCCTGCCAGATGACTGCTCTGTCAGCCCAATAATGGCCTGCCATCTGCTGTCTAGCATACACAAAGGCAAAAAGTGTATGTGTGCGTGAGCTTGTGTGCGCACTCTTGGGTGTGTGCTCGGAGGAAGAAGGCAGGGGACGTTCGGCGGACGCCTGCAGGCTCTGTTTCATGTCTCAGGACACAAACATTTTGCACACACCTTACTTTAGTCCATTAATGGCTAACTCAAGGACCAGAACGATAGAGGGTACCAGACCTGTACTGGATACTAACAATGGGTGGCACACACTATGGCGTGTCAAGTTTTAGAGTACATGTAAAGAAAAAGATGGAAAATATGATTCACTTTTACTAAATCTTGCAATAACAGCTTTGTATATCCAACAAGGCTAGTCTGCACACAACAGGTACGTGTCCACATAAGTGATTATAATCTAAGAATGGCTTCCCTTAAATAGTGCGTGAAGCATAAGGTGGAGGGGCTGCAGCCAATAACCAATTAAGTGGCAAAAGGTCCCTGACATCTTTCAACCCTTAGTGCGGGTCAGTCAAGAACAAAAGACCCTCTCGCACGAGAGCGAAGGGAGGACAGATTGATTAAGTGGACGTGGCGTGCATGCGGCGCCCGTGTGTTGATGTGCACATTGTTTGTATGCGTGTGCACTGCTGCTCCTTCAGCATAAGGCAAGTTGTCACGTCCTTTGCCTCCATCCATTTGGGGGGCAATTGAGTGAATGGGCCTGTAAAACCAACAGCCCTGAGGACAAAGGAGCCCGGGGGCATTAAGTCATGGGTGAGTGGGCCCCTTTAGGGCCAGCAGCTGACCCTGTGGAGAGCCCTCTTGTTCTGGTGGAGGGGGCTCGTGTCCCTGGACCCCAGGCCAAGTTGACAGTATCCCAACATATACATCCACACATCAGCTTAAACCGGCTCTTATCAGCCGTCAACGCCACAAGCAAACAATTCACCTGCCCGGCCGTCAACTCCACCTGGGGAAACGCGATGAAAATACGGATAAAGTTGGAGGATTTTGATTTCCGTTTTCCTCAAGAAAATGTCTTTTCCAGGAATCAGTTTTTGGCCAGAGCTCAAGAGGTTGCCCCATGCCTGCTGGGAGGATGTCAGAAGAACTAAAGGATCATAAGAAATCTTTATTACGTGGGAAATACCATGTAACGTATACTAATTTGTACAAGGGGCACTTGGCAGAGCGAGGAAGACACATAATTCAAAATGCCAATAGATGTCATGCAACATATTCATTTATTTTTTTCAAAATCAAGTACATGGTTACAAAGACGGTCGGCAGGATTTCTATGGTACCTTGGTTATGATTTCGACTGAAAATTCTACAAAAACAGAGTGTGTGTTACATCATACAGTGTGTGTTACATCTGTGATTCACCTCTTCAATTAAAGCAAAGTCCAGCATCTTGTGTATTGCTCATGCATAACTACAGTAGTATAAAAGAGCTGCTGCTATCCTGTGATGTTACATGGCCAAATGTTGTTAACGTACAAACATATCAACTTGGACTTAACAAATGGAATGTACAAACACAAGTCAAACCAACAAACAGAACACATAACACAATTATATACAGATTAGACACTTCTCAGCCACCAGATTAAAGAACAGTCTAATGTGGCTGTTAGTCTACTTTCTGTTTTAGAGTTGTACACTCCTGATCTTTCCACTTGATCTCCCTGACAAGATTCCCTTCTTATTCTCACTTAAATGCTTAATGCAGGATAATCCAGATTGATACTTTGCTAATGCCGATAATACAAAGAAGACTGTAGTGATACTTCACCGGATTATAGATTTGTTTCAAGATGGTTAAAAATGACACGAGTCAGCCTGTTAACATGGAAGCACATGTGCAGTTCTTCAGACCAAAAAACACCAAAAATTCGTGCATATTTACATTATATTTAATAAGCACTTTGTTCTTACGCACAAGTTCAAGATAATCTGTGTTTGCTGTATTTGTCTGTCAAAAAAAAAAAAAAAAAAGGTGTTTCATAAGGCTTCAATGTAGTGTATATAAGCACAAAGTTCTGCAGCAGAACAGGAGAACATGTTAAAAATCAAGCAGCAGGATTGTAATGTCAGCAATCATTACAAAACAGGAAGACAACTGTCTAACACACACACACACACACACACACACACACGCCCAACATTAAAATCAAACAAGGACGAGAGCTAACATCATCAGAATGGACACACATTTAAAATTAAACGAGTAAAAAGTGCAATTTGTCTATGATTAGAGGTCGGAGATGGAGTCCTGCTAGCTAATAGCGAAGAACACATTTGAATCAAAGGAAGAAAAAGTCCTAGCTACATGTTACAAGATCACAGATACAACTACGCAATGATTATTAGCTAGAGAAGAAATTGGCATATTGAATTAGAGGCAGTGCATGCTCTTCTAACTTGGAGTGATGAAGCTGAATGGTAGCACAATCCTGATTTCGAAAGAGAAAAAAAAAAAAAAAAAAAAATCTATAAAATTCTTTATTAATTTCTTTTAAATGTTTTTTTTTTTTTTAGAAATAAATAAATTAGTAGACATTAAATAAATAAAACCTACAGCCTTCACATAAAAAGTAAATCCTTCTCAACCAAATGCTCGTCATAGAACACTGATGATATGAAAACTGGTTTAGAGGTTTTTTTTAGGCTGTTTTGTCAGCAAAGTTAGACTTCTTAAAAACTCACGGTGTCCGATTTATATTAATATCTAAGCTTTAGGGCTGTCAGATAATAAATAAAAACAAATAAACATTACGGTACCCTTCCATTTTGAGGTTTTTACACATGTACATTGCAATGAAATACATTCAACCGATGTCTCGACAGACACTATGACCTTGGAAAGGAAACGTGTTAGAAAACGATACCATCACAAGTGCGATCCAGTTTGCCCTTCAAAACGCTGCTCCTTCCTCAGCGAATCAACTCAGTAGTGCAATACTGACACAGTTTCTTATTTCCCTCCTCAAAACCTTCACATCGCCACGAATCGGCGTTCAGCAACGTAACGCCGCTGTCTCAACAAAAACCACGTAACTGCATTTCTGTTTCTCTCATTTCAAAGCCATGGTTGACATTATCTTCTGTACTGTAGGAGTCTAGTTAAAAACACATGGTGTGATTTAAAAAAATAAAATACACGGGTGTCAATTAAAGAGCTACACATTTTGCATGTACGTGGTTTTCATCTGACAACAGCAACGGGGCAGTTTAGCTCAACAAGCTGGAGGAGACACGCAATGAGTAGCGTTACATTATAAAAATGTCTTTCTTGTCATTTAAACAATATATTAACAATATAAAACTCAGAAGCAGTCACTGCTAGTAATACACACTATTTCTACAGCCTACTGTATGTGCAGGTTGTTTCAACATTACCGACGAGTGCAGAGAGAAAGTCTGGCCTTGTCATACCTGTACAAAGCTGCTTACGTTGCCAGGTTTTGTGTATTCAAAGGGAAATACAGAACCTATGGACAAGAAACTACTTGGGCAGTGAAGTATAAATGTGTTGAAAACGCAGCAGCCATGCATTTTATTTTGTGGACCTCCTTGGCAGTGCATTGCTGCTCCAAAGAAATATTTAAAATCATTTGTCTTCATTGGATTGTCTCTTACAGGAATCAGTGGAGGTTTTAGTCGTCGGACGGGCGTAGTAGTAGTGTCGCATGCGCAGCGAAGGGGACGGCTTTAAAGCACCAGGGCCCTTGAGGTAGAGCCGGACGACGTGTAGGGGTTCAGGTACTGACGGGCCTGTTCCGTCATGATCAGCTGGTCCTCTGTCTTCCCATAAACCACTGCTTCCCACTCACTCACCTGCAGAGAAGGCTACAAATGATTACCAATGATTGCCAAAGTAGCTTAGTGAGGCTCACCTCATTAAAAGGTTTTATTTAAAGACTACTCTGTACGTACCTGTACCGCGGCCTGTTTTGGTGCTTTGTGGGAGGCGAGAAGCTTCTTCATCCGGGGGCCACTGAAGCGGTGAGGATGAACGGGGACCGATGAGGGCGACGAGCGGCTACACTCTTCTTGCTCAGGGATTTGTGTGACGAGTGAAGAGCCTGTCAGTATACTTTCATCTGGCACCTGCAATATGAGGTTCAATAAAAACAGAGTAGCTAACACAACAACACAAGAAATGATGACGCTGGACTGAGTACTCCTTTCCTCCTGGTTAGTTTTCTCGTCTTGCGACGACATCTGAACCTGTGATTTTAAAGGGGTAAACAAGTATCGTGACTTACGTGTGCGTTGTTGAGCTGCTCTTGGAAGAGTTGCACGTTGGGGCAGTCTTTCCCCCAGGGGTCCAGCACAAGAGACTTGCGCACCTTTCTAGCTGGGCCACCGATCTGAAATCAAAGGACCACGATACAATAAATGCTGTAGCTCTATCTGGAGTAGAGCGATGTCGTTTTGTCCAAGTGCCACAATTGAGCTCAGTAAAATACTAAAGCGAGTGTATTTGTAAGTATTTGTTTCTTCAAGTTAGTATGTTTAACTAATAGAAGAACATGCTACACATACGTTATGCTTCCATGCTCTGTAGTCTGGCTGGAGGTCCGATCTGTTAAAGATGTCTGCTCCGGTCTCCTGCTTCAAAACTTCTCGAATGTCTTCTTCTAGAAATGCCAGCGGCTGTGGCTGAAACACGCAAGCACACACACACACACATAGATATATGACCACATGATCACAGAGCCAAATACTGCACAAAATAAGAAAATGTTAAATAAAAGTGTGAAAACATGCAGATAGCCACATCTGACTTCTCACCTCCATCTTTAGTGGCCCATGCATTTTCTCCTGGGCAGCCAAAGCATTTTTGAAAGGAGTCGGTGTCCTCGGGGTTGGAATCATGACAGTTTTACGAAATTTAGGGGTTCGTAAACTAGAAAGTTGACAGAGAATATAATACACTGAGTACTCTGCTAGAAGAAGAAGTATTGTGGAAGATTACCACAAAGCATAGCAAGCTTCTGGCTGTTATACCAGCTCTTGTGGCACGTATAATACCATTCTATATTTATTTACCCATCATTCTCTTTCTGGTGCTTAGGTGTGGTCTCTTTGTGGAGCGGCGTGTTGAGGAGACACCTTTGGCCACACACAGGCGTCGAGGTGAGGGCGGGGTTATCCAGATTCAGATGCTCCGCCCCCGATATGTTGCAGAACTGGGGAAAACAGACAGACGAGACATATTAGCCACATGACTAATGCAACCTCAGCACATCAACTCAAGAGGAGAGGATTAGGGTGTGTGACGAAAGAAAGATTTCATTTACCCGTGACGGAGTGAACGGCAGTGACTTTGTGGGCGTTTTCTTGGGAGAATTTGAGATGTTTTCCAGGAAGGAAGAGCAGGTCCTGTCACATGAAGGAGATGGCTCCCCCCTATCCCTCCTCCTCCTCCTCCCAGTGGATGCCTGGGTGGGTTTGGAGGAGTTGATAGGAGTCAAGGAGGCGACAGCGCCCAGACCAAATGAAGCACAGTTCTTATCCCGACCAGAGACGGCAGGCGGAGTGTTGACCGTGAAGGCCATTGAATTGTCAATCGTCCTCTCTTGCAGGAGAGTGGTGTAGCCGGCCTGGTTGTGCCTGGGCGGCGTCGCCGTCTCCGACAAGTCGAAGCTGACGGCGTCGCTCCATGCAATGGGGTCCTGCAGAGCAAAACACATCTACGGGAGATCGTTAATACATTCACGACTTTTGTCCCATCGCGAAATACATTTGTTCCGTTCCTTCTGTTGCTCACCGAATCAATGAGCTCCATGGTTTCAGCAAACTCCGGTATGGTCTGCAGGGTGGAGAGCACAGCACTGGCCTCTACAGCCAGGAACTTGCTGGGGGAGACAGGAAGCTGTGGTGGAGGTCCTTGGGGGACGTCGGGCCCCCTCCAGGGCCTCCTCTCCGCCTGCTCCTCTATGCTGCTGCTACTCGTAGTCAATGCGTCATCGGACACACTGTCGGACCAGGCTGAGTACGGCTCCACACTCTGAGGGCCGCAGGATGAGAGAAAACTGGTCAGTTTTACAATAATCTGTGACGAGGAAAACACTGGTGATACTACAACAACACCAGGCTGATCTAGACCATTCTATCAGTCAATATGAAGTCACTGACTGTGAAGAACGACCAATCACAGGAATGGAGTGAATGAAATGTGAAAACAGTGTCGGGGAGAGACGGAACAGGGAAGAGGAGAGACAGAGGAGAGTGGTTCAAACCGCTGGCTGAGCGTGGGCATGGGGGTGAGTACTAGAGGGGATGAAGGAGCCGGGTCATGTTTGGAACCATGGTAATGTAGGGGGGAGGGTGGGAGGGGTGGGGCTACCAAGCACAGCTTCAGGCCAGTCTGAATGAGTAGCGAGATGGGGAAGGTAGTTACTATAGCAACACTACAGCAAATCAAGCTACAGACAGGCAGAGATGTCTTGTTTTCACATGTATACACTGCAAAAAGTCCATTTAGCGTCAAGCCTTAGAATCTCCTTTTCCTTAAAGCAAAGAAAAGTCCACTGAGGAGATGGGATTTTAAGAATTTCCTATAAACAAGTGTTCAAGAAAATTCTTAATATTCTCTCGTCATCTCCCTTTGATTTGATTTTAAGACTCTTTGTTTGATAATAAATTTAATATAAAAAAGTGACTTTTTACAGTGTATGTTAGCTACAAACACACGCAGGCTATGCTGACTAAGTATGCAAACACACATTCAGAGTGTGTTCTTACACGTGGACCTCTGCACTGCACTTGTCGTTGGACTTCATTCTCTGCTGACATAAGCAGCAGCTCAAGCTCCTTAATTCTTTGCTCTCTGTCGGGATCATCCGGGCAGAACGGCTGAAATAAACAAATGTCAGAGAGGACGAGAGGACAGGAGGAAAGGAAGAGGTTAAGAAGACCCAGACACACAAAAAAACAAACAGATATACACGTAAAATATTGACGGGGGAGCATTTGAGATTTTGAATGTTAGGTGAAATAACGGGACATTAAAGTGCTTGATTTGAAATCCAGAGTTAGCGATCGCAAAGATAATTACAGAAAGTCCAGGAAAATGAAGAGTTTTCCCACCAGCATGCAAAGAAAACACAGAATAACTCACCGATGCGAAGACAGAATTATCAGGAAGACCGTCCATCAAGTGTCTACAGTGAGGATCATAAGGATAGCTCCCCATCTATAATACAAAGAACCAGACTTCAATAATAAAGACAACAAATAAAAGAAATTTAAAAAAAGAACATGGTTGTGGAGTCTAGAGGGGAAGTGGACCTGGTTGGGTCCCGGTATCGGCAGGGGACTGCGATCACAGTGCTGGAGCTCTGTTGGCGTTGGAGGACACGGTCTGTGGTGGCGTCTCTTCAGTCCGGCATGAGAGGAGGTGAAACTCTTGGAGCCATCTTGCAGGTATCCCTCGTGCTCCACCTTTCTCCTCATGGTGGAATTCCAATGGTTCTTGATGGAGTTGTCTGTCCTGTTGGAAGAGAAGATCGGTAATATATTTTGTTAGCAAATTGAACAGTTTCCTGAGTAGAAGTGGAGATATGCGATGTGTGCGCACGAGATGATATTACCGTCCAGGAAGAAGCTTGGAGATCTCCGCCCAGCGGTTGCCCAGTCGTTTGTGGGCGTCGTAGATGATCTTGTCCTCTTCCTGAGTCCATGAAGACTTCTTCACCTCCGGGTTGAGGTGGTTGTGCCAGCGTTCTCGGCACTGCTTTCCAATCCTCCCCTGGAGGTGCTTGGCGATCACCGACCAGCGCTTTGGGCCGTACTTGTGTACCAGGTCAATAACCTGCACAAACATCACCAAAGGAGATATTTAGCAGGCGGTTTTTATTCCTAAATCAGAATATTATGCGTCATCTTTTATTTTGAAGCCCCTAATGGTGGCAGATATCAGAGAGCTTTAATCATGTTTGAATGTTTCCATCACTCCTGAAAAATGTTGTGACGTCATCGTTACGTGTTTCTGATATGATGCCAAGATTTTGGAGGAACGAGACTCCATTCTTGAGGGATTGTGAACCATTTAAGGAATGCATTGTCATCGTAGAGCTGGGGAAGATATTACAGCTTCACTCTGGACAAAGAAGGGCCGGCCAGGCTCTAAACTAGTGACTTGGAAAGTCTGTGTGTTATTAGGGATGACGTAATGGAGCAGTTACTTTCCAAAGAAAATTTTTGCGGGAAGTAAGCGTGCGCATGTGCACAGCCCTGTTAGTCTGAAGGTAAAAAAAAAAAAAATACAGTGCATATTGTAGCATTCGTGTTCGTTTACTTGGACTGAGCTGCTCTCAGCGCTCCCCACAGCGTCCTTCTGTCTCCCCTATCATTTACCAATTTTGTCTTCTCACTTAATATCCTGCACAGGACACTCCCAGCTCCAGTTACCTTTTGATCCTCCTCCTTTGTCCAGGGTCCTTTCACCAGCTCCGGGTTGAGCACCTTCTGCCAGCGGTGCTGACATTGGCCATCTGTCCTCCCCTGTGACACGGCCGCACAAAGCACAACACCTCATTACACCACTGCCTCACAGCTACACCTTCTCCTGACAGCTGTACATGAAGCTGCCTCTCCAGTCACTGCGCCCATGACTTACCATCACGGTTAAAAACATCCTGTCGAGTAACGATGTTCATTACAGGATTACTAAATGTTGTGGATATTACTCACTTACTAATAGTTTGGGATCTTATTGCACAGTGCAGACACATTATATTACATTACAAACATACTTACTGGAAAAAAGTTAGCTATTAGTTTCCAGGAGTCAGGTCCATGCTGCTCTACCAGTTTTTTCAGCTTTTCATCCTGAAGGGAGAAAAACATAATAATAAGGTTCTGGGATGAAATACAAATCTCAGTACCACGTCCCCATTTCACTCAGTCAACCTACAGATCTTACCTCATCTCGGGACCACTTGACTTTACACAGGGGCTTTATATCTTTGCTCTTCTCTTTACTCTCTTGGTCTGTAGAGTGCAGCTCTTCATCCTCATCATTGCTAGAAAGAAGAGCAGGTTTTATTGGTGGGGCCAACATAGAGCCCAAACTTTTCTTCATAAGGTCAATGACTGTAAGCAGGTATGGATTTGAAAATAGTATTGCATTGAAATTGCTAAGTATCAGTATCAATATGAGACTCAATAACACAACAGAGCTTTCACTCATTCTTGACTAAACTTAATAAAAAGGAAAGAAAGAAACAACTTGTAAGTGTACATGGCTGCAGACAAGAGCACAAAATACCTCTTTACTGACACAACAAGTTGGCAGGTAGCATTGCACTTCTGTGTTCCCATAAAACGTGCTGCTGGGCAACACTTGCTTTGTGTTTGGCGTAAAAGAGTTTAATAAATGGAGGAGAGGTGAAGGTATCTGTTCCTGAGAGCTGCTACTGTAACCACACACACAACAGGGTCTCGTATCAGAATGTGTGTGAGAGGTCTTGGCGTGGCCTGATTCCCTCACCAGAGCTAAGAGAAGAAGGGAACGGGGTCTGGACCTATGGCTGAACAGGAAGGAGGGGAGGAAAGAGGGGCGATCCCTGATCAACAGGCTCTTTCACCTCAAGAGGTGTGTGAGTGTGTGTGTGTGTGTGTGTGTGTGTGTGAGATGGAAGAGGCGGTGCACTGGGGTGTGGTCTGGGGAATGGTGAAGCCCTAACGGTCCAGTTGTTCAAAGTTTCAAAAAACAGGCAGACTGCAGAACCTCTTCGCACGATAATATTAAAATGTCACACATGTACAAACATTCATTGTCATGATGTGCTGCAGTCGTAATACTTCATCAGTCAAAACTGTTTATGGGATATTGTAACATACAGCCAGATCAAACCCTGAGCTTAATGATTGTGAGAGAAAAGAGATCTCACCAGATGGGATCACAAGGAGGTGATGGGTGTGAGATACAGACAAGCAGTTCATTTAAGCTTAATACAGGAAATAATGAAACACACGTCCCATCTTCAAATAGCTTGTTTTGTCCACACAAAAATACAAAAGATTAAACTGAGAATTGATGAGCTGGAAACAGCTGATTACCAGAATTGGTGGAAATTATTAGTACATTGATAAACTAATCAATCAATTCAGTTAACTGTGTGTATATATATATATATATGTATATATATATATATATATATATATATATATATATATATATATATATATATATATATATATAAATAAATAAGTATAATACATGATTGCGAATATCCTCATTAATGTGCACCTGTCTGTTGTTTAATATAAATAATACATACGATGCTACCTTGGTCACTATAGTCTGATCACAAACAAACAGGTACTTTTTGACACTGTGTTTTTACTTTTGGGCAGTAACAAGGACAAATAATAAAAACAAATCTTGATATTAAAACGTATTTTATTGAATGTAGCTTTTTATATGTGTTTTGTCCTTTGATTGACAGAAAACAACATCTTACTTACACTTGTATCGATCTATTATTACTAATCTGTCACTTTCAAGTAATGTGAGGATGCTGCTGTTGCATAACTGCTGTTGTGACAATGGGCTGCAGGGCTCCAATGCACAGCAGAAATATCATGCCCTCGATACTGTATTATTCCTCCAATATTAAGAAAACAAGCTATCATTTTCAACTTAGAGTGTCTGTTATATTTTACACTATTCATACCTACTTTCAGGCTACTGGGACAGGTAACATTACGTCATGAACTATTAAATATCTTACGATTATTACTGGTAACGTCACTCTTCATCAGTTAACGTTACTATTCATAAATAGTTCCTGTCTGACTGTGCACGTGCGTCGTACGTTATGCTATCAAAGATGAAACATGCAGTGTGAGTTCCCACACAACAAGGAAACTGATACCATTGTGTGTTATCAGCGGTGACTGTGGCAAACAGAAAGCAACCTGCACCATAACGCATTGCTGGCACTCACCTGCGTGGCTTCACGTTGTCCATGACAGTCGGTGGGATGATTGAACTTTTCCAAAGACGAACCTGTGGTTTGGTAGCTGTCTAAAATCCCTCATTAATAGATGTTTATCCATAGAAATCGCTGTAAGTCAGGCTAGCCAGTGAGCTAACGTAATGCACAGTCCATAACATTACATTCTCTGTGGAAGAGCCTGACGCGCTGTCGATATCATCTTCTTAAAGAAACGCGTCGCTTTGTCTTCTTCTGGTGTTTGTTCCTAAAGAGTCAACCCCGCAACATACAATATATTACGTAGGAGAGACTAACACGTTACTTTCGTTTCTCGGTGTCCCGGCTGTCTCTGTCTTTACTTGTCTGTACTTCTATTACTTCTATTTGGCGTTATGATTTTTGTCCATCCCGCCGATTCTCGCGCCCAGCCCTCTGCGCAGGCGGCCTCGCTCCTGATTGGTCAGAAAACGGGGCTGTGAAAAGAGGAGTCGGTACTCAAACCTGATAGGGCAAGACATAAGGACAGGCTCGCGTGTGATTGGTTAGTAGTATAAGGAGAGCACGTTTCATTGGTTAAAATAATTGAGGAGGCGGGTGTTAGATTAGACGACTGTACTGTCACCTTCTGCAGCAGAAAGGATCTTTTCATGAAGGCAGTGGTGGCTCAAAGTGGGGTGCGGGGACTATCGGGGGCCCTTCAGGGGGTTTCAATCCAATTTGATCCCTCTAATCTACAATGCTGATATGTTATTTTGAGTTAATATTCAATAACATGTATTCATAGAAGCAGATAGCGCTGCTATTGTTTTATTTTTACCAGATGGTGCACAACTCAATTGGAGTGCACTGTGCAATGAACAGGCCATCTGCTGTTGCTTAATAAAGCCAATGTCTTTGAGTGGACATAACATCATTGTAAGAGATAGAAATTATGATGATAATTCACATATTTGCATCATATTTGAGAAGATCGAGGCATTGTGGCTTGAGATTCACACCAATATTACAGACAGTAAATGCCCTTTTCACAGCAGCCGTTTTGACACGTAATCTCAGGGTAAACACAGGTGTAATTAATAACATTAATTAAGGCCCTGTTCCATTCAGGTTGGCCAGGGAACTGGTATTGCACGTGCTGGTTTACTGGAATGACTGTGTTAATACAATGATTATATGTATTACACCTGTGTGTAATCTGCTAAAACATGTTAAAATGTGAAAAGGGCTCATTTAGAATATTTAAACTCTGACACTTAACACAATATTTAATTTTCGCTTTGACAGGCAGCTCGTGCATAAACTCAATACTCCTTTAACTTGTGTTTGCTGACACCTTGTGGACAAACCTTTGGCATCGGCACTGTTCTAAGGTTTCATGCACGTAAAGTCAAAATGAAAGTGAAATATTTACCACGGAAATTATGTCTTGTTCATATGTTACATGTTGTTCATACATTGCTATATCCGTTTTAACTCATCACAACATCTCTGGTTATTATTGGTCTGCGCACCATCAGCTCCAAGCAGGTAAGTCGACTCGGGGGACTGGGGTAAGTGGTGCAATGCGTCTGTATGGATTTTCACAACGAATACTACTAAACAGAGTTCAGGTGTCAGCACAAGAACATTAAACTTCATTTTCGTTTATCAAAATATGAAGAACATAATTAATATCTCATAAGTCTGAGATATTATCTCAAACTTGTCACTTGCAATTTATTAATTGTTGACATGTTTTCTGTAATTAATTTATCATAATTCTAACGTTGTCATTTCATCCTAAATTTTATATTTTTCTGGGAGTGAACTTTGGATGTGGATGATTGTTTTGGGGTATATTAGGCTTGTCCTGTCTTTCTACCTGTAGGTGACACTGTTGAACCGTTCGACTTCTCAATGTCCTGAGTCTTAAATTAGCTGTGTTAAGTCAACCACAACAAGACCGGAACTTACTTACTATGCTTCTAAAAAGTAAAATAAAAAACCCAGTGTAAGATATGAGAAATAGCAGAAGTTTTTTAAACGCCTGGAATTTTCTGTAGTCAGCCTCATACAAATACTATAAACGTACTACGAAACTAAATACATTTGATAAAACATCAATTGTGTTTCACTTGAAACGTGAAAATGTATATAATTGACAGGGGTGGATCACCAGATAGGCTCACCCAGACTCTCTTTAAAGCCTCAGGTTCAGTATGTTTTGGGGTATTTTCAACGGAAGATTTGTCTGTATATGCACCACCAATTACAATATCATCCCAGATCAATTCAGACAAGGGCCTTTACACAGGGACTCCATTATTACCAAATATTGAGGTTCAGATGGGCCTTGTGTCTTTGAATATGTTATTCGTTTAAGCCCACATGGTGCATATTCCTATATAAATCTGTTTAATTGGTGTGCTTTGAAATAACAACATACATACACAATACAAAGTGTTGAAGTGGGTTGATCCAGCCATCATTAGAGGAATGTGTACTCTATTTTTTACCATTTACGTAAAAGCAGTAATCCCAAAATATAAAAATAATAAATAATAATAAACAGTCCGGGATTCGAAATATTACTTATGCAATATTATAGATAGAAGTATGAACACAAAGATGTACGCAAAGAAAGAAAAATAAAACACATTGTGCAGTAAAGGTTATACTATTATCAAACCATTGGACTGATAATATTTATGCATTCATTTTTGGAATGGAAATTGAAGTACAAGTACCTAAACATTTTATTTTAGTGCTGAAGTAAATGTATGAGCAACGTTCTCTACCTATATTTTGAAATGCAGTACCGGAAGTGCACTGGTGTATTGTGTCCGGCCTGATAGTGGCTGCAGTTGAGAAGTCCCGTGACAAATTTCATTGGAACTTTGTACGGCCAAGCAGGACTGATGTTTCCTGCTTCCCCCACTTACTTGACAGACGCTTATGGACAGCAAGAACATTCACATTCAGTTTGAGGCTTTAGGGGCTTTTTTTACCGAATCGAAACTGGAAAAACGTTCGTTTTACCGACAGTTTAAATGGTGTGGAGCGAAAAAGCCTCACTGGACCTACGGAAATAGATGAACAACGCACCAAAATACTGTAAGGTACGTTTTGTTCATGGAAACGTTACCTTGTTCTCGTTTCGCTAACATTGCCTAGCTGTAAGACAAAACTAACACTACCTAACGTTACCATACGAAACTCAAGTAACAATATAAGTAACCAAACGTTGTTTGGAGGTAACGTTAGTAGTAAAATGATGACTGTTCGCTATTACACAACATTAACTTCTTTTTTATCTGCTCTAAGATAACACTAACTAAGCAGAAGTTTAGCCGAAGCTAAAAAAATTAAACCAAGTTAAATCAGCTGACGCTACTTTGTTGTTTACAGTTTGTATTCCATCGTTGGAGCATGTCTAACCTTTCATTTCGTGACGGTATTTTATGTGTGTGTGTGTGTGTTCAGCTCCTTCCTCAGGCTCGTTTTGTTCTCTCCTTGGCAGGAGACAATCTGCTTTTTCCTGTAATACACGTGATATGCACCGAGATTAAGAAACAAAAACAAAACAAAGTCCCCAGTGTGAGCGCGCGCACACACACACGCAAACAGCCTCAGGTGAAAGTTTACCAAACGGATCAGCAAGTAAACTGAACTAGGCGAGGCCTTCTCGGTGTTCCAGGGACATGTTCTCCTCCCCCATGATTGTTCTCCGCCTGTAGAGATGATGTGTCAGAGACCTCATTGGTTGTCAACAGAATCCCCACGTTGGGTGTTGAGTCAGCTGTGTGGTATGGACAGTGTCAGGCAGGCATTTATAAGTTGGGTGGTGTGCATGGGAGTGGTTTTACTCCTCTGATGCTATTAAATAATGACCCATTTAGCATGTGTGTATACTAACAAGGGGGATGTATCCTTGATAATCCTTGTTCTCCGTTGACAATATTTCAACTCTGTTTTGTGCAAACCTGCTTATTTTCTGCTTGTAATTATTTGGGAGGTTCAAAACTGGTTCATTGATGTAACGGGTGTCTATTAAGAACTTGGTTTTTACATTTTTTCACGTTTTTGAAAGATGGTGAGATGCATCTGTATGTAGACCTGATTTGCAGATAAGTTGCTGAATCAGGTTGATCTCTTTGAATTGTCATTTTCAGTGCTCGAGCTGATTCGTCAGCGCTACAGCTTCGCAGACGGTGAGCTGTCTGGACGGTCGGGTCAGGTTAGGAGTTTGTCCAGATGCTGAGGTCGGTTGCACGCACAGAGGTTGACTGAGTTCATGCACCTCCACGTCTCCAGCTGCATCCTTCCTCAATCAGAGACCAGTCTCCATTGCATTATAATGAGATACGTCTAGAATAATGTTCACGATATTCAGTTTCATCTCACACGTTACAGATTTACACGCATCCAAACTTTGTCAAATTTCACTTTTTTAAAGTTAAAAGTACCAGGTCATAATAAAGGTTATAATTGACAGCTCCTCTGCAGTAGGTTGTCTTCCTATTCTCATTCCTGTATTCTGTATTCCCCTGTTTATCAGTGGATAAATGCCCGATTGAGCTTTCAAATCTGATTTAACATCATAGGGCTTTGTTTTTTCTCGCTAAAATTGCTTGCCATGCATGATGCGCAACCATACACACAGAAAAAAATATATGTTCAACATCCTCATAGGATATCCACAGGCAAGGATGTGTCTGTGAGCTAAGCAGGAAGAACTGCTAGTTCTGATCCTGTAGTAGTAGTCCGCTGTATTTGCGCCTGTCAGCACAAGTTAAATCATGTCGTCGCATGAGCGCAGGGCTTAAACTGCAGCCAGAGAATGTGCTTAACATTAATCTTGTTCTTTTTCATATTCCATTATGCCTTTGCCTAGTGGGTGTGGTGAGCGGCAGCATTCCATATGAAGGAGAAGCCGTATCAGCTGAAAATGGAAGTTGTGCAAAGATAGTTCTAGCTTTATTCTCCCTTGAACAAAACTATTTCTGGAATGTTAAACAGCGGGTCCCATCCAGTGACGTAGAGAGTGTGTTCACCTTGAAAACACACACAGATGTGTAGCAGCTCGGGGAAATATCCAACCGTGTTTATGTTCACCAGCCACAGGACAACAAACCACAAGCACAGGTTTAAACACACAAAGCTGTCGGACTGTTTCCTGGTCACCTGGTAATAACAGCCAACGTGTATCATGTGCATGTTGCTGGTGAAGATATAGCTTTGACAAGAGCGTAAACTATTACTCGAGTGATCGGTCTGTTGACAAAATAATGTACTATTTTGATAATCAATTTTTGTCAAATGAACAAACAAGACAGACATTTTAAAGTG